GGTGGCCCAAACCCCTCCCAGCTCCCACCTTCAGCACTGGGAGAAGCCCCGGAACCCCTCCAGGTGACCCCCAGAGCTGTCACCTGTCCCTGGCATCGCTGTCCCCTGGCACATTCCCCTGACACAGGAGCTGTGGGATGGCCGAATCGTGGGGCCACAGCATCGCCTGGGAGGGGAGGGGGACCCTGCTGCCCACCTGGGGGACAGGGGCACACCTGGGTGGCTGTGCCAGCCCCACCTGGGGGACAGGGGCATGGGGGGGGCCCTGCAGCCCACCTGAGGGATGTGGGCACACCTGGGTGCCCCTGCTGCCCCACCTGAGGGACACGGGCACACCTGGGCACCCCTGCAGCCCACCTGAGGGACGTGGGCACACCTGGGTGACCGTGCCAGCCCCAGCTGAGGGACACGGGCATGGGGGGGGCCCTGCAGCCCCACCTGGGGGACACGGGCATGGGGGGGGTCCTGCAGCCCACCTGAGGAACACGGGCACACCTGGGTGCCCCTGCTGCCCACCTGGGGGACACGGGCACACCCGGGCACTGTGCCAGCCCCAGCTGGGGGATGCGGGCACACCGGGCACCGTGCCAGCCCGGCTCTGCGTGTCGTGCAGGTGCAGCAGCGGCTGCAGGGGCAGGAGCAGCAGCTGGACGTGCACCTGCTGACGGACGTGGTGTGGTCCCTGTGCGTCCTGCGGCGGCCCCGGGCGCCCCAGCTGTGCCAGGTGCTGTGCCCCGAGTTCCAGGCGCGCCTGCGAGGTGAGCCGGGGGCGCCGCCGTGCCAGCGGCTGCAGCCCAGTCAAATTCGGTGCCGTCCCCCCGTGGCGGGCACCGGCCACCGGCTGCCACAGCACCTCCGTGGCCGCCTGCCCCGGGTCCCCTCCCGTGGGGCCCGGGCGGCGAATCCCACCGGAGACACGGGCACACCTGGGGCTGGGGGGCTCGGGGCTGGAGTTCACCTGGGGTGCAAACTGTGTCTGGATGCTGCACCCAGCGGGGCTGCACAGCCCTTTCCATGGGAATGTTCCCCAAATCCC